AAACACGGTAAATTATCAATAGGACTATATGAAATACTTTAATGTGGGGTTTGAGTTAGACAACATTAATGCTTGAAGAAAAGCTACAAAAACAGCATATTGTAAAAAAAATGTTTGTTTAGTTAATTAGGGTAAACATGGAGCAAATATTTTAACAGAACACATCTGCTGTGGCTTATACTAATGCAAATAACTGCTCAGCCTTTTGATGCTAACATTGCTAGCTTAATTTGCACTTATTACTGTAACTTAGCCTAGCACCTGCTGCTTWAGCTTTCATTTATTTTCAGACAGGAACTCACACTCCACAAGGCTGACAATTAACTGAGCATTTTCGGCTTGAAACAACATCTGAACGTTCCATAGATACCTTGAAAATTGGACCCAATGGAATGACCTTGTGGACCAAAAATGGCCCAGGGTGCACCAGTTGATATTTGCTATTTAAAAGAGAAGCTGTTATGTAGGTAACAATACCGACTCAAGCCTTGTTTACAGTAAGTTTAATAAACTAATTAGCTGCCAAAAGATTTGAATAAACTGCAAATAATAAAAAAGGATTAAAAGCAGGATATAAATCCATCAGTTTCAGATTCAGGATTTCTTTGTAAGAGCATTCCTAAGAATTTTTTTGATCTATGTTGCATCAATATGTTTCTACATCAGTCTAGAACAAAAAGAAATGTATCAGAACTAGAAAGAYTTACTTGTACTTGTATGAAAGCATGTTTAAAACACCTGTTCTCTCTTTTCTGCCTCAAACTGCTCAAAGAGCATTTTTACCTCTGATCTTTAGCCATTGTCACCATTTTACAGTTACAATCAAATATCAAGCTGTCAAAATCCTGGGTTTAACTAATGATCCCAGCTCTTTTATTWAAAAAAAAGGAAAGAAAAACCAAACCAAGCTGCACATTTCTTTAAACAAAGCCAAAATYCACCATCCGTGGCTACTGTTGTTGCAATCAATACCAAGAATCTAAATGCATGGTGACAATTCAAGTAAATAAGAGCAAATTTATTGAAAGTACTTAGAAGGTGGCTGGAGATTTGCAGGGATGGGTGAAGATGAAGGAAAGTTGAAGGCTGCGAGGAGCCTGTGACTGCTAGAGTGAGCCAAGGAGGATCGGACGCTGGGGAACGAGGGTTGTTGGCTGAATGTGAAGCAGGAAGGCAGGTGGCAGGTGAGGCAGGGCTGAGTGCTCTGAAGGCAGGAGAAATAACCAAGTGGATGGAGAAAAAAGGTTGAGTGTTTCTACAGCAAAACAAACACAAGTAAGTCATGTTAGAACAAATAATGTTAGCTTTCTGACTGAATATTTGATTGAAAAAAAAGGAAAAAAAATAGCACAGAAATGCCACTGAGTTGATGAGTGAATCTTAGAGAAGTGTGTGGGCTGACAATCCAACTATTCAGAAACATGCACACATCAACACAATAATGGGTTCTTCCACCTACAATAAAACCACATTAGCTCCAAATGCAGGGCGTTTAGAGCAGACGTACAATGATAGAGGTTTGCTTGAGATGCAGAACTGACAACCATTGGATAGAATACCCCAAAATTGGTGCATGCAAAATTCAGCAATAAGCTGCTGATGCTGCTACTGGAGCTAGTAAATAAATACAAAACTTCATTCACACAATCCACTTAGGTTTTGGCACCAGTCAAACTAGCTCAGGGGTGGGCCACTTTAGAAAGGGCCTCAATTTTTTGTTGACACTACCAGAGGGACGCCCAAATGTAATAAAGCAGCCATTTAAAAAAAAATTCTTGTTTGTATATACACATATACAGTGCTTAATGTTACATATTTCATGCCCAAATGCATGTAACGTTATTTACTTGTGACTTCAGTAAACTCATATTTAGCTTTGTGCAACATGTTGTAGTGACTTATATTAAAATCTTTCATAGCAGACAGCATCTTTAAGCAGACCAAACACATAGGTTTGGCTTGAACAGATCYTAAATCAATCTCTCAAAACTTAAAAAGATACTCAGAACTCTTAGATTTTAATAGCTGCTTTTAGCCCTTCTTTCAAAGTTAAATAAATTAATAAAAAAATGCCCGTCAAATGGAAGTCACCCATGGGCCAGATGTGGCCTGAGGGCAGCCGGTTGCCAATCCTTGAACATGCTGTTAGCTTGTCAACTTAATCAGACTTAAAATATATTTTGCCAAACTGAGGCTGTTCAAAGAGTTATCTATGACAGGTAGGATATTAATTGTTCACAACCTCTTCACAAACCCCCCACTTCTATTAGAATGCACAAGGTTTTTGTTTAAAACGGCATACAAAGCAGAGGACAATAAGCATTCTGACAAAATTCTCCATCTGCGTCACGACAATAAGTAGGACTAATGCTCGAAACGCTGAGTTGGACTTGCTTGATTAAAGCAGAGCCGTTCATCAGCACCTTCACCTCYCAGGCGAAGGTGCTGATGAAAGCAAAGAAAGGTTTCTCTGATTATATGTGGGTGGAAGGAAGGAGGATGATGAGATGTGAGGGAAAACGTGAAATAAGAGCCCGTCTCTGTGTGTGTCCCTCATTAGTTCCGTGTCCAGCTGAGTCTACTCTTCGGCTCATCGTGAGTGGGTTGGAGGACGTGAACAGGATTGGATGACAAAAACAAAGGAAGTGGGCTTTTTGGATCAGTCTGGATGAGGCTTCAAATGAGGAGAGCAGGATATGTTCTTTACAAAATTGCAATATAACTTTTTTTATCAAAGTAGCAAAAAAAAAACAACTTGAACCTTTAATATCAGTTAGCCTAAATAGGTGAAACCAAGTGAGAACAAAATGTTTCTCTTCAAATTGTTGTAAATAAGTGGAGAAAAAAAGATCCATTTTTAGGTTCATTTGCCTCTTAAGTGTTTTAAGTAATGAGATGGAATKTCTCTCGACAGCTGAAATTTGTTTTTAACTGGAGCGGCGATCTTCGACTTCCCGTTTAATTTAAACATTTTGCCCAAGAGATGGAGGGGAAACCGACGAGGTCACTCTTACACGCAACGAGGTGTATGTGTGGAGTCTCCTCCGGCGAGCCTTTCGCTTCAAATCCCTCCCGTGTCTGCGAGGCGCCGGCCATCTGCCAGATGATGTTTTTGTTTGCAGAGACCCAGATAAAGTTGTGAAGGTCGATGCGCTGTGAGGCCCGCGAGGTGACGGCATGCATGCTGAGGAGCTGCCTTCACAGTGGGACACGGAGGCGTAGCGAGAGAGAGTGAGAGYGYGYGCGAAGAATGGAGAGGGGAAGGAGAAAAGGCACATGTCATTCGAATATTGACATGAGAGGTGTTATGCTGCTTGCCTCGAAGTCGTCACTCATCTGCTTTTGAAAAATCTGATGCACACCTGCAAAATACTTTCCCCCYCTTGCTTTAGATCTATTTCACTCCTGATGAATAATGCTGACATGACAGTGAAGCACCAATGGCAGAGCATCTGTAGAAGAGTAGGAACGGAGTGTCTCATTCGCTGTTCGTCTGCCATTAGCTTCCCTGAGCTCGACTTAAAGCCCCACGGTGCTTTGCTCTGAATGTGAAAGGCTCGTGGTTCAAAGAGCCTCCACAGCTGGTGGAGATAACGAAAGGGAAAAGCTGCCTAGCTTCATTGTGGACCTCGTTGTGTTCATCCATCGACACTAAAAAAAAAAGCAGAAACTTCTCACGTGAAGTTTTCAACTCACCTAATTCTGCCGATTTGTTGTGGCCGTTTTTTTCTGGTGTTTCTTTTATTTGCTACCAAAAAAAACAACATTTTACCAAATACTGGCTTARCTTTTCTTTCCCGTCRTTCTCAGGCCACGGTTGCAGCCTTCGCAGCCAGTGAAGGTCACTCGCACCCTCGAGTGGTCGAGCTTCCCAAGACGGACGAAGGGCTAGGTTTCAACGTGATGGGCGGCAAGGAGCAGAACTCTCCCATATACATCTCACGCATCATTCCTGGAGGTGTGGCTGAAAGGCACGGTGGCCTAAAGCGAGGGGATCAGCTGCTGTCCGTCAACGGTGTGGTGCGTCAAACCAGGCTTTCCTTATGTTAAAATAAAATGGGAAGAAAACAAAGATTTTAGGGTAGCAACACAAAAAACAACACGGTATGTACTGGGTACATACGTGGTACCTATGAGGACTATGTAGTGAATGTTTACCCTTCACATAAAAGCAGATGCTGAGTACTTACATGGTACTTTACTGGAAATATATCTGGAACATATCAGGTAATTTACTGGAAAGAAGCATCTGAAATGAATCAGATATTTATCTGAAAAATACCATATTGTAGCAAGTAAGTACCCAGTAGGTACCAGTTATATAGTCTTTAAAGGGGCAATATCATGTAAAATCAACTTTTAAAAAAAATTTTTTTATTTATTTTTATTCACCGTTATTTTACCAGGTAAGTCCCATTGAGATCTCAGATCTCTTTTTCAAGGGAGGCCTGGGCCTGAAGGCAACCTGTTGTACGTGTGTTGTGTTGTGGGGGAAACCGGAGTACCCGGAGAAAACCKACGCAAGCACGAGGAGAACATGCAAACTCCGCACAGAAAGACCCCAGGTCCGAACTGGGGATCGAACCCAGGACCTTCTTGCTGTGGGGCGTCGATGCTAACCACTGAGCCGTCGTGCTGCCAAAGTTTGAGTTTTATATCATGTCATAATGTTATACTCTCATAAAAAAACATACCCAAAGCCTTGCTTTGACTCATTCATGCATGTTTGAGAAATCCTGCAGCGTTTTTAGGAAGCCATGCTGAGGAGCAAAACAACAGGTGGGGACCAGAAACACATTTTGGTACCAGAAACGCCCCTGGGACGTGTCTTTAAGTCGAGCTTCCTCATCACGGAGCACACCTCCCCACCCCCCACACCCCGCCCATGACTCCTGCAGGCTCTTAGCAGTAACAGAGCAAAGTGAAAGTGAAACTTAAACTGTCTGCTGCTTTTAACACTACTTCTCACTCAGTGAAGCTCTTTTCAGATTCAAAATACCTTTGAGGAAATGTATTTTCAGATGCCAAGTAAACTGCATCATAGCGCACGTGCGACCCCCCACCCCCGCCGTCACTAAAATTGGACGGGACAGAAGCGGAAGGTGGTTCTTAAAGAGACAGAGGCCAATTTCAAGGCATTTAGAAGAGGAAGTGATGAGACGATAAGTTTATTTTCTATATAAACATAAAAACAGCATTTTAATAACAACTAAAGGTGACATAGATACTTTATTATGGTATAGTATTTAAATATATGCCTGAGAAACACATAATATTGGCCCTTCAAGTATACATGAACATTTACAAAAGGTTGCTTTCAGACCCAGGCCTCCCTTGCAAGAAATCTGTGACCTCAGTGAGATTGTCTGGTTAAATAAGGGTTCATAGATAAATATAAAATACCAGGTAGGTATCCAGTAAATACCAGGTATCTGCCAGGTAATCATCAGTTGCATACCAGGTATGTACTAGGTAACTGCCTCTTATGTAACCTTTAGGTAACAGATACAATTCTAGTAAGTACTACATATATATATAT